GGGGACTCGGCTGGGTGGGGGCTGGGCTGCTCCCTTCACAGTTGGTGCGTGGGGGTTGGGGTCCTGGGCACCCTGGCGGGGACGTCGCCCCCGTCAGCGAACCCGGGCAGACCTCGCAGCTCTTTCAGCTACCTGCGGTTCCTGGGAGGCGCCATGTGGGGCGGGGCCCATCCCACCTGCGGCGCTGCCTGGCCCTGAATCCTGGGTCCAGGTCCCTCCATCGCTGACCTTCCCAGCAGAGTCAGGGCAACTTGTGGACCGGCTCTCTGGTGTGAGCTGTGAAAGAGGCAGCCGTTTGTCTCTTGTTCATCCATCCATTCCTGCGTCTGTCCTCTGACCTCCGTGGTCTGCGAACCTGCTGCACACCAGGCCCTGCCTTACTCTGCTTTGTGACCCTGACAGCACAGGCGCCTGACCAGTTAGAGCTGAGGGACAGCCCCTGTCTTTCCAGGCCCCAGTTTCTGGTCTTCCTGACAAGGAGCCGTTCCTACCTCTGTTCATTGATACAATATAACGGCTGGCACTGTCCACCTTTGCCCCAGACTCTGAGAAACTGTGAAAAATACATCTGTCCTCAGAAAGCTCCTGAGCCAGAAGCCAGGCTTGGAGGTTGGGGAGGCCAAATGGTGGTGGCCTCGGAGGAGCATGGGGGAATGGGTTGGAGCTTAGGAGGTTCCCCTGGAGAGGAGGTGGATGCCACGTTGCTCTCACCGCGGGGTCTTCAGGGCCACACTACACTGCCTGTTGGGACTACTGGGCCGGGGTGGAGGGGAAGAGGCTTGGGACAAGAATATGTGGGGTTCTGAGATGCTCTGAATGAAGGCTTGGTCTGATGTGGATGAGGTGGGTGATGATGATGGTGATGGTTGATGAGGCCTTGAGCGTCAGGTTGGAGGCCTGAGCCTCTGGTTCGCCAGAGGAAGTTAAAGGAGGGGGTGTTCTGTAGTGATAGCTCTGGCTGCTGTCCTGGGGTCCAAGTCCTCGTGCTGCCTGTGCCACCCTGGTGTCCACATAGCTGGAGGACCCCTTGGGTAGTTGGACTCCTCTTCAGGGCTGACTGAAACAACAGGGTTGGAGTGTGGTGGTTGGCAGAGGGCACCACAGCCAGTGTGGGTGTCTTCTCTGCCCCTTTCATGCCTTGCAGAGATGAGCTCAAGCGCCATTACAACCTGGGGGAATACTGGATCGAGGTGGAGATGGAGGACTTGGCCAGCTTTGATGAGGACCTGGCCGACTCCTTGTACAAGCAGCCAGCTGAGCACCTGGAGCTGGTGAGTGGAGCCCCAGCCCAAGCCCTCTGGGCTGCGCCCTGCCTGTCACCAACAGCTTATTCTCTTCTGTACAGCTGGAGGAAGCAGCCAAGGAGGTGGCTGATGAGGTGACCCGGCCCCGGCCTGCTGGGGAGGAGGTGCTCCAGGACATACAAGTCATGCTCAAGTCGGATGCCAGCCCCTCCAGCATCCGGAGCCTGAAGGTGGGTCCGCTGGGGCCTGGAGACAGGCAGCCTGGGCACCCGTAGGGTGGCTCTGACAAAGCAGGCAACCCCGCTGAGCCTGCTCTGAGCTCGCTTGGACAGATGTTCACTGAACTCACCCCTGGGTGTGGCCTCGAGTTGTTCCTGCGGGGACAACAGGACCTGCATGGTGAACCCCTCCTGGAGTTTGTGTGCAGCAGGGGAGACGGAAACCCGTGCTGTACCCTGCTGAGGTCTGAGGTGATCGGTAGGGCAGTACAGGCAGTCCAGAGAGCAGCAGCAAGAAGGGGTCTCTAGGGATGGTGGAGACGGCTTCTGAGAAGGCAGCCTGGGGTGGCGAAGACGCAGAGCACAGACGGCAGGGAACACTTTGGATAGGGGAGGGCCTTCCCGGCTGCAGAGCCACGAACACATTGGCATCGGGGCTGTGCTGAGATCACTGTGGAGGCTGCTGGTCAGGCGGTCAGGCAGGGGCAGGAGAGGTGGGCGGGGTAACTGCATTCGCAGGCAGGTGGCAGCTGTGTGCCTGGTGCTGCTCGGGATCCTCACTGTGCGGAGCAAAGAGGAGCAATGCAGACGGGCCCTTGTTCTCCGTGACAGCTCAGGAGCCAGACAGGAACAGTTAGGTGATTCAGGTGGTGTCAGAGGGACGGGGTAGAAACAGATTGGACCGAGGTCAAGGGTGTCCTCAGCTCCCTTTCACCACGAGCTTCCATGTGGCTCTTGCAGTCAGACATGATGTCGCATCTGGTGAAGATTCCTGGCATCATCATCGCGGCCTCTGCAGTCCGGGCCAAGGCCACGCGCATTTCCATTCAGTGTCGCAGTTGCCGCAACACCCTCACCAACATTGCCCTGCGCCCCGGCCTGGAGGGCTATGCCCTGCCCAGGAAGTGCAACGTGTAAGTAGGTGATGAGCACGACCCCCAGTTGCCTCGGAGCCCTGGATGGGGCAGGACTGGGCCTGGCTCGGGCTCACTGATGGGTGCGGTGTCCCTGCCAGGTGACCAGGACTGACCTCTGAGGGGGCACAGGGTTGGGAAGCAGCAGTGTTGACCACGTCCTGTGCGTGACCATGTAGCCCGAGAACACAGCCCCACTCCATGCTGCGCAGAGGCTGAGCCTGTGGCTCCTCAGCTCGCAGAACCTCACAGGCCCCTTGGCACTCTCCAGAACTGGAGGATGCCACCATCTGCTGCCCTGGCGAAGCCTTCCCTGCTCCTAGCTCTTCACCTGCCCGACCGCTGCAGTGTGTGTACCTTATCCCGTGACCCCCTCGGTCTGCTCTTCACCCAGCAGCCAGGTGGTTCTTGATGCTGTTAACATGTGGCCCTTTATGTGCTCTATTCTGGCTCGTGCCAGCCTCTTGCCAGCAGCCACACTGCCTCCTCGCCTCTGCCCCTTCCTGCCCCCAGCCACTCAGTCTGTCCTTGTCTGGCCTTTGGGCTCCTCCATCTCATGGTGATGCCAATAGTCTCTTTCTTGTTCTTTTAAGTGTAACATGTACTTGTCATTTATTACATAGTTGTGAGAAGGATCAAAATATATGATGTTTAAACTGTGTTAAATTAAGAGTTTGCTATGAATATTTTTCAGAGTATTTTATCATTTGTGTTACTTTGTGAGGCAGTTCTTGAGTCCTCTTTTGCGAGTATCTATGAGGCGTGATTAAAACACAGTGAATGCTGCCGCGAGGCACTGTCCGACACAGGCAAGCTTGCACAGGACACTGCTGTCATCCACCTCACCAACTGTGGCACTGTAATTTCTGGTTCTCCCCGAAGTCAACATGACCACGAAAAGTGGATGTTGTGAATTGACTCAGGACATTGAGGTAGCCGCAGCAATTGCCACTAAAGACACGTAGGAGAGGACTTCCACAGCTGCTGCAGAAGTGACAAGGACAATAGGATAAGTGTGTTCAAGCTGTTAGGGGAGCGTTTTCAGGGGAATTAATGAGAACGTGTGTTAGTGTGATACAACTTCTTGTTTGTTTGTGACACGGTCTCGATATATAGTCCAGGCTGGCCTGAACTCAGCTATGTGGTAGAGGCAGGGCTCAGACTCGGTGATCCTCCTGCCTCAGCCACCCACATGTTGGGTTTACAGCCGCGTGCCACCACATTCACTGTGCATTTTGGTTGTGTGGCATAGTTTTTAATTTTCTCCTGAATAGAAGCTAGCTCTAGAACAGGGCCTCTATGTTACGTGATGTCCCTGCTCCCACTGTGGCTGCCCCTGGCTTTGTTGCAGAGTTGGGTGTGCTGCTGTGCTGTTGTGGATTTTTTTTTTTTTGTACCGGGGATTGAACTTGGATCCTTGCACTTTTGAGGCAGGTGGCAGAACCACTGAGCTAAATCCCCAGCTCAGATAGAGTTTATTGCACAGGGTGTATTGTGGCCTCGACCTTTGCTGGTCCAGCAGGCTAGCATCTCCCTGCCATGCGAGTGGGTAGTGAGGGGCTTGCCCTGGGGATGCTGAGCCCTTGTCCAGGGACCTGGCCTGCCTTGTTGGGGAGCCCTGCCTGCTTGCTGCGCTGTGCACCTCTCCCCCACCTCAGTTACCAGAACCTCAGTTACCCTGGGCAGATGGGCCGCAGCCTTTGGTTCTTGAGTGGCTATGGAGACCTCCTTCCCCCACAGGGACCAGGCTGGCCGTCCCCGGTGCCCGCTGGACCCGTACTTCATCATGCCTGACAAGTGTAAGTGTGTGGACTTCCAGACCCTGAAGCTGCAGGAGCTGCCGGATGCTGTGCCCCATGGTGAGATGCCTCGGCACATGCAGCTCTACTGCGACAGGTGAGCCTCCTCCCCTGATGGAGGCTGTGTGACCTCGTGAGTGCAGGGCTGGGCTGTGCACCTCCTCAGCTTGTCAGGACCAGGTCACCAGCTGCTGCCCAGCAGGAGAAGAGGGAAACAGGAAGTCGGCCTGGGCTCTCTGACCTGGGTGTTCTCAGCTGACGTTGCCTGTGCCTGTCTTCTTTTGCCTTTTTTTTTCTTTTGAGATGTCTCCCTATGTAGTTTAGGCTGGCCTGGAATGCACTGGGTAGCCAGACTGGCCTGGAACTCGTTATCCCCCTGCCTCAGCCTCCTGAGTGCAGGGATTGCAGTGGTGTACCAGCACACTGGGCCGGCCCCTGTGTGTTCTGCGGGAGTACTTTCTGGGGAGGTGGAGCATGCAGGGCTGTTTCCTATGGGGAAGGGGAATGGGGACCGGCTCTGTCCTCCCGTGGGGCTGCTCAGACGAGCACTGGGCCGGAAACCGGGAAGAGGTGGGGCTGGGGTAGTGGTGGCAGAGATGTGGATGTCACCCCACTGGTTGGTTCCACAGGGGTCGGGACAGGTAGGCAACTCCACTGCCTCCCAGGCTCAGAGAGGTGCTGTGGCTTCTCGGTCACATGGCCATCTACGTCCTCGGGCAGCGTGGGCCTGGGGAACCTTGGAGATGTCACTGTGCGTGTGTCTGTGACAGAGGAACTGAGCCCAGAGACAGAGGCTGAGATGGGAGGGCTTGCGGGGGCTTCCTCCCGACTGGCCGCGGCAGCGTGGGCTTCGGCACCCCCAGCGGAGAGGGCGGAGTCGGGACCTCTGTAGGGCTGGGCAGGACACGGCTCCCTCGGCAGGCTCCGAGCTGGCACCACTGTGGGGCTGTGTGGCTGCAGTGACGAGGATGGGACGGCGCCAGCTTGGGGTGGGAATGCTTGGTGCCAAGGCCATCCTGGCAGTGGCCTAGCCGTGCCCTCACTGCCACTCCTCTCCCCACCCTTGTTTCAGGTACCTGTGTGACAAAGTTGTCCCTGGGAACAGGGTCACGATCATGGGCATCTACTCCATCAAGAAGTTCGGCCTGAACTCCAGCAGAGGCCGTGACAGGGTGGGCGTGGGCATCCGGAGCTCCTACATCCGTGTCCTGGGCATCCAGGTGGACACGGATGGCTCTGGTGAGTGGCTGGCAGGGCCTTGTGGAAGCTCGGGCTCCCACACCTGCCTTAGCAGGCAGTGCACCACCTCGCAGGTGGCCCGGGGCCCCTCGTGTTCTCCTTGTCTTTTGGTTCCGCTATGGCCCTGGGCTGAGGGCCTTGGCTTGAACACAGGTTCAGGGTTGGAGGAATCGGCACAGGGGGTGGACCCTGCTGCCCGGATCCAGGCTGGACTGTAGCTGAGCGGTGCCCCTGACTTACACAGCCCCCTCCTATCCAGGCCGCAGCTTTGCCGGGTCTGTGAGTCCACAGGAGGAGGAGGAGTTCCGGCACCTGGCGGCCCTCCCCAATGTCTACGAGGTCGTCTCCAAGAGCATCGCCCCCTCCATCTTTGGGGGCACAGACATGAAGAAGGCTATTGCCTGCCTGCTCTTTGGGGGCTCCCGGAAGAGGTGAGGCCCAGGGGTCAGGAGACATGGGACACAGGATAGTGGTCAGGGTGGGCCAATGGTACTGTGTCTGAGCCCTCAGATAAGACGCGAAGGCAGCAAGAGTGGCCTGGGGGTGCCACTTCCTGGTCACTTCGGAAAAGAGAGAGAGACTGTCTCTCTGTGCTTGGTTCCCAAGGAGCAAAGAGGGTAGAAGACACCTGGTGCCCTTTGGCAGCCCTGAAGCAATGGAAGTTTAGCCAGTAACAGCAGCAACAGTGCTCTTGCCATGCATGCCCTGACCCTCCTGAGTGTGCCCGTGGGCTGTCATTCCCAGTGCCACTGTGTAGGTGGGGGCAGAGGCCGCTGCAGCCCTGCTCCTGGGTGCACAGCGGAACCTGGATCCTGTGTGCAGCGCTGTCCTCTGCCATAGTGGGAATGCTTCCTGCCTGCTTGCCGGGCACCTGCACTCGGCCGAGGTGCCATCTGCCTCGCCTCCTGTGGTTCTCACCCTGCCCACCTGCCAGGCTCCCTGATGGACTCACTCGTCGTGGGGACATCAACCTGCTGATGCTGGGGGACCCGGGGACTGCCAAGTCCCAGCTCCTGAAGTTCGTGGAGAAGTGCTCTCCCATTGGGGTGAGTGGCCAGGTCACCAGACACTGTCCTCACCCCATGGCTGTGTCCGGGATCGGCGGTGGGGGGGAGGGGAGCGGAACTCAGAGGCAGTGGGCTTGGGGGCAGGAGCACTAGGCTGGGAATCAGCCTGGGGTTTGCATCTCGCCTGTCAAGTCCCCAGCCGTGCATCTCAGGGCCCGGTCTTTCTGGCAGTTAGTAGAAGGGTGGCAGTGGTGAGGCATATTCACCTGTTGAAACTCAGCCCTGCTGTGGGCACTGCAACCTTGGAGCCCAGTGCGAGGACCAGGTCCTCGGGGCATTGACCAGGGGCCTCGGTGCTCTTTATGGGGAGAGGACACTACCGCCTGGCCAGGAGATGGGGCTGTGGGAACTGTGGGGACTGTGATGGGTGTTTGGATGGAGTCTTCGGCAGCCACATCAGAAACTGGGCATCTGGGGCCAAGGCAGGCTTGCAAGTTCGGGCCCAGCCTATCTCAGTAATGGGCTCAGGGTTATAGCTCATTGCAAACTCATTGCTCTGAGTTTAATCCCCAGTGCCACAAAAATAAAATGAAAATTAAATGAGAGACAGGTGAAGTTCACTTTCGTCACCCATCCTGTGGCGCATGGCTTCACGTTATTACCACTGCTGTGCTGTGCTGGGGACTGAGCCCAGCACCAGAGCCTGAGCAGCTGGCAACTGAGTTGTACCCCAGTGTGAAAGTGACCATGAGGTCCACACCTTTGTGGTTGCATGTCTGGCTCATGGGCGTCTCTGGTGTGTGGTTTCAAGGGCTCAGGACAGTACATGGCTTGCAGGTCGGTGGATAATAAGAGGGACCTGTGTGGGGTGGCCCTCCAGGCCCTTCCAGCTCTGGGCAGTTTGCAGGGGGATCCCCTTCTCTGGGCCTCTGCTCCTCACACAAGCCGGTGTTCACAGGACATTTAGGCCACGTTGGGGCCCTTCTCTCGCCTGTGTGCTGGTTCTGCCCTTGGCCTTGCCAGGTGCCTGGAGCCGGATCTGATGCAGCCCTCCCCCTGCCCTCCCCCCAGGTGTACACGTCAGGGAAGGGCAGCAGCGCAGCTGGACTCACAGCCTCCGTGATGAGAGACCCCTCCTCCCGGAACTTCATCATGGAGGGAGGGGCCATGGTCCTGGCCGATGGTGGGGTCGTCTGCATCGATGAGTTTGACAAGGTGAGTGGCGGGAGGGTAGCGGCCAGACACTGGCATCTTGCATCCTGCACGGGCCTGGGCTGTGTGGCCTCTAGGGCATGCTTGACACGTCACCTCTGAACAGTGACTGGTGAGTTGCTTAGCCTCCCTAAGCCTCAGTCACTGCATCTGGAGACTGGGAGAGGCTGGCCAGCCCCTCACCATGGTGGGAGCCACCCGGTTCCCACCCTGGCCCAGCACAGAGTCTGTACCAGAGTCGAGGCTATTGCTGATTTTTCTGCCACCACTGCCCCTGCCCGGGTGGGTCTGATGGATGTTTGCCTGTTCCCTGCAGATGCGAGAAGATGACCGTGTGGCCATCCACGAGGCCATGGAGCAGCAGACCATTTCCATTGCCAAGGTGAGCTCCCTCCTGCTCGGCCTGGGCCCCACTGGTTCTCCCCCCGCAGCCGCTTTGGGCTGGGCTCCAGCCTGCTCGCCCAGGTACGTGCTGGTGGCAGTGGCAGGCCTGTGTGTGTATACACACGCGTGTGAGGGGCCTGCCCCAGGGCTCTTGGTGAGCTCCGTCCCTTGCAGGCTGGGATCACCACCACCCTGAACTCGCGCTGCTCTGTTCTGGCTGCCGCCAACTCGGTGTTTGGCCGCTGGGATGAGACGAAGGGGGAGGACAACATTGACTTCATGCCCACCATCCTGTCCCGCTTCGACATGATCTTCATCGTCAAGGATGAGCACGACGAGGAGAGGGACATGGTGCGTCCGTGGCGGGGCGGGGCTGGCAGGGCCCCGAGGCAGAGCTGGTGGGTAGCGGGGTCCAACGGCAGTGTCAGGAGGGCCTGTGGGGACCAGGGCCATCTATGTGTGCTCTGCCCCCCAGATGCTGGCCAAGCACGTCATCACGCTGCACGTGAGCGCGCTGACCCAGGCGCAGGCCGCGGAGGGCGAGATCGACCTGGCCAAGCTGAAGAAGTTCATTGCCTACTGCCGCGTGTGAGTGTGGCCCACGGCTCCGCAGACCCCTGGAGTCACTCTGTCTTGTGGCTTCAGACAGGTTGCTCACCTGCCGAGTGTGCTTCTGCAGTGTGAGCTGCTCAGGGCTTCCATAAGGTTGCACAAGACAGTGAGCAGGCGTCGAGGACTGCCCCGTTACAAGCGCCGCTCTCACAGGCTTCCAGTCACAGGAGTCTTACACATAGTGTTTCCGTCGTGTGAGGCGTGCTGCTAAGAGTTTTGTGTATGAGCTGTACTCCCGGACCTCAGAGGTTAGGCAGCTAGGTGTACTGTGTCCTTTTCACAGATGGGGAAACGGAGGCGAGGATGGTACGTAACTTGTGGGAGGTGGTGCGGATGGGCTGTGAATGAACTGGGTGCCCCGTGCTGCTCATGTTTCTGTAACTGCAGCACCCCAAGGACAGATCCGGGCTGCTCCCCAGGAACAAGCAGGTGCTGAGTCCCTGGAGACCTTGGGGGCCCGGACTCCCTTCTGACGAGCCCCTGGTGGCCTTATTCTTAGGGTTCTCTCCTCATCTTCGGCTTCCCCTAACCCTGTCATCAGTTCTGGCCCAGTGGGATGGTAGGGGCAGCGGACAGAAAGATAGAGGTCCTGTTCCTCAGACCGGCCTGGAGGCTGCTGTGTGGGCCTCTATCGCCATGGGGCACGGCTGCGAGCCCCAGAGGGGCCCTTCTCGCCCTGCAGCTGGCTTCACCCACTTCCCGTCAGAGGCCCTGTCATCCCCCACTTGTTGGTCTCTGGCGCCTGCTCACAGCCAGCCTGGGTTTTGTCATCTCAGCACGGGGGCAGATGGTGTGGGTGTGGTGGGCGCCTCGCGCCCTCCTGGCCTCACACTGGGTGTTCCCCATTGTCCTGCAGGAAGTGTGGCCCCCGGCTGTCTGCGGAGGCTGCGGAGAAGCTGAAGAACCGCTACATCCTCATGCGCAGTGGAGCCCGGCAGCACGAGCGGGACAGCGACCGCCGCTCCAGCATCCCCATCACTGTGCGGTGTGTGCGCGGGTCTTCGGGGCCGGCTCTCCTGGGGTCAGGCGGACCGAGGCTGGGCCCGCCTCCGGCCTGCTGTGTGACTGGCAGCTGCTCTGTGGCTCTTGCTGTCTTCTCTGTGGGTCTCAGGTGGTGGTGCCAAGGCACTGGGACCTGCCGGGGTGAGCCCCACCTGGGGGACTGGTTAGGCCGTGGGTTTGGCTGTGGAGTGGTGAACTTCGCGTAGCCTGCACAGACGTGGTTGATTCCCAGGGTGGATGTGTGACACTGGCTGGCTGGCGTGGCTCCTTGGGACTCAGTGGCAGCTGGGCACCAGCCACCCTTTCCCTTGACCCCCTCCGAATGCTGGGGCTTCACCTATTGCCTGTACATTTGGGATAGCGGGGAACAAGGAAAACGGGGCTCACTGCTTCAAGACGTTCCCTGATGTCACACACAGTGCTCGGACTTAAAACTGGCCAGCCACATCCTGGTCCCAGAAGCCAGGAGGTGCACTTTAGCAGGCCGTGTGTGCAGTAGTAGCGATCCCTGCCGCAGCCTCCCCTGCTGGGGCTGGGCCAGGCCGTCCTGAGCACCCGCTGACCCACAGGCAGCTGGAGGCCATCGTGCGCATTGCAGAAGCCCTCGGCAAGATGAAGCTGCAGCCCTTTGCCACGGAGGCTGACGTGGAGGAGGCCCTGAGGCTCTTCCACGTGTCCACACTGGACGCCGCCTTGTCGGGCACCCTGTCTGGTGAGTGGGTGCTACTGAGGCCTGGTGCAGCTGTGCTGGCGCCTGGGAAGTGGCCTCCTGTACCCTTGGGACCTTTGACAGCAGCTGCCCCAAATCTCAGTGCTGCTCTTGCTGCTCCTTGGGATGGGAGGAAGTGGCTTCGCTTCAGACCTGAACAGGGACCCAGCTGCCAGCTTCATGGCTTAGGCAAGCAGTCAGCCCCCTGTGCGTTTGGCTCAGCCTTCTCAGGGCTTCTGGGCCAGGGCTCTGTTCTTGACACTTGAGCCCCAGAAGTTAAGTCAGACACCTGGTCCTTCTCGCCCTCGAGAAAGCCAGTGTCCAGAGCCCCTCACTTGGCCCAGGTCGTGGTACCCCACACCTGGTTTGGAGAGGTTGGCCTTTGCATGGATGAGCACTGGTGGGCAGCTCTTTGGGTGCCGGCCCATCCCTTGCCTGGCACGTAGACACAGTAATTCCTCAGGTGTGGTGGTGCTGGGTCAGAAGTCGGCAGATGGCACATTCCAGCTGAGGCTGAGAGGAGCCCGTGAGGAGATGACACAGGTGGCCCTCGAGAGGCCCGTGCTCTACCCATCTGCTGGGGAGCTGCGCACAGCCAGAGCTGAACATCCTGAGCCCCGTGTGCTAAGGGCTCCTGGGTCTCTCCCCGGGGATCACTTGCGGTCCTGAACTCCTGTCCAGTTTGCCCCAGGAGGTTGCTCCTGCAGCCCCTGGCTGGAGGGGATCCACGTGTCAGAACCGACTGACCTGCTTGGTGGGGACTGTCGCCCGAGACGACGAGTCCTGTGTCAGCAGGCGCAGCCTCGTTACGGTCACCCTGCAGGTCTGCCTTGCTCTGCCCTGGGCTTTCGAGCCCGCTCTGTCCCTGCCTGCATCTGTACTGGAGACTGCGCGCCCTGCTGTCCCAGCCTCGTGCTGCTTCTCTGACCCATGTCCTGTTCTCCCAGGAGTGGAGGGCTTCACCAGCCAGGAGGACCAGGAGCTGCTGAGCCGCATCGAGAAGCAGCTCAAGCGCCGCTTTGCCATCGGCTCCCAGGTGTCTGAGCACAGTATCGTCCAGGACTTCACCAAGCAGGTGGGCCTTGGAGGGGCTCGTGGGTCCTGAGGCTCCCACCCAGCACCATCCCCAGGTTGGGGCGGCCGTCAGCCCTCCCCTAGGCATGCTTCCTGCAGGGCCAGAAGGCCGATTGGTTATTACTGTGGTGGTGCTGGGATTGAACGTGGGCTTTTGCACTGAGCTACATTCCACTCGCTTTATTTTGTTGTTTTGAGACAGGGTCTCACTCTAGTTCAGGCTGGCCTTGGACTCGCCGCAATCCTCCCGCCTCTGCCTTCTGAGTGCGTGCACCACTGTATCTGGCTCTTTTTTACATTGTGAGACAGGGTCTTCAGTTGCCGTTCTCCTGGCTCAGACTTCCAGAGTGCTGGGACTACATGTGTGTGCCAGCACTTCCGGCTCAGAGACTTTTCTTGTTCTGTCCTATGAAAGGGAAGAGGGGCAAGTGGCCAGATTCTGGTTGAGCCTCATCCTGCAGCCCCAGCCTTGCCAGATCTTCCCTCCTCAGAGGAGGGGCAGAGGGGAGGGGCGGGGAGGCAGGACTTTCTGGATGCCTCAGGAAGCCTGGCGCCTTTAAAGGCACAGGGCACCCCTGGTTTCAAGTCCCTGTCTGTCTCCTGTGTGTCCCCTGGTCTTGTGCAGCAGTTGGTGCCAAGCCTGGTCTATGGTTGAGCCGCTGAGCTTAGAGGTTTAGGAATGACCAGAGTCCGGGGTGAGGGACTGTGCTTTCACCTCAACTCTACCACTACTTGCAGTTAGGCTCTGTGCCTCAGTTTCTTCCTCTGTAAAGTGGAGACAGTCCTGTACTGGCTGCTGGGCTGGAGAGGTGAGGCAGTTGAGGCTTGTGGCAGTGCCCAGTGACGGTGGGCACTTGGGATGCTCAAACCCTTCCCGTGGCCAGTCTGGTGGGTAGGGGCGTCACTGCGTCCCTCGACAGCCCTGCATCTGCCCCCTGTTCTGTGTCCACAGAAGTACCCGGAGCACGCCATCTACAAGGTGCTGCAGCTCATGTTGCGCCGCGGAGAGGTGCAGCACCGCATGCAGCGCAAGGTCCTCTACCGCGTCAAGTAAGGACGCCATGCCACCGTGCCATGCCGGGCCTCTGCCCGCCCCGCCCTCCAGCACCTACCCACCTTCCTGCCCTGTGCTGCTTGCCGCCTCTGGATCTCTGCCTGGTGCTGGCTGGGCAGTGTGCCTGGAGTTTGATAATAAAGATGCTGTGTTGGGTCCCTGGAGGCTTCTGCCCCTGGTGGCCTGTCCCCACCTGTCCTTGGTTCTCACAGCTGAGGGAGCCCAAGTATGGCGGCTGAGCCTGCACGTGCCCCAGGTGCTCAGAGTGAGGGCTGTGGCGTAGCAGCCGCACCACCACCAACTTCATGTTTTCCTGCACCTTGGTGCCCTGATCTGCAGGCGGCAACACGGTCCCTGCCTCTGGAGCAGCACAGTCCTCGAGCGCTCAGCCAGGGCCCGGGGCAGCCGGGAGTGCAGCGGGACGCTGTGGCATCTGGTGCCCAGGGATGTGGATTCTGGCAAGCCTTAGAACGGGG